GCTTCCTGGTGCCTTTCGTTGCCCATCCGCTGGACGGTGGCCGCCGCCTTACTCACCTGCTCGGCCCCGACTGGCTGCTGGACGTGACTCACCTCGTGGCGCCACACGCCCGCGTGCAGGACCCGCGTGTAGCCTCGCTGGAGGGCGGCCGCATCCTAGTGGGCCGGGAGCCCGGTGTCACCTCCATCGAGGTGAGCAGGCAAGGGATGCTGCAGAGCGGACCCCCTCAGAAAGGTGTGGGTGTTCACACGAGGCACACAGCAGGTGTGAAGAGTGTGGGAGGCGCCCGGCTGTGCCTGGGGAGAGCTGGTGGGCAGTCGATGCAGGAGCGCAGTGGGATAGAGTGAGAATGGGGTGACCATGCCATGGAAGTTCTTTAGGTATAAGAACCGTGGGGGCCAGGTCTCCACTGTCCCCTCGGTGTGGGATTGGGGTCTGGATACTTATACGGCCTAGAAGTTGGGGTGTTGAGCAGAGCAATCTGAGGATTCTGGAAGCGGAAATCAGATCCCTTTGGCTGGGGGCTGTGTAGGAGCCCCCCTTCTCCAGCTCCTTCCCACCCACAGGTGCGATCCCCGCTGTCTGACTCGATCCTGGGGGAGCAGGCACTGGCTGTGACGGAGGACAAGGTCTCGGTGCTGGAGCTGCAGGTGCAGCCAGTGATGGGCATCTCCCTGGCCCTGAGCCGTGGCACTGCCCACCCTGGAGAGGTCACTGCCACATGCTGGGCACAGTCAGCACTTCCTGCCCCAAAGCAGGTGATGGCTGGGAGTCAGGGGGATGAGGTGAAAACCTACAGGCAGGGACTCATGGCCGAGGAGGATGGGAGGGAGAGAGCCCTGGTACCTCGACCCCCTTACCTTAGGGATTTCAGAACAAGGACTGACTTCCCCATGGGGTACTGAGCTCTCTGCAGCTGGAAGCGATCAAGCTGTGGCTGGCTGGAGTGTAGCAGTGGGAGGTTCATTAGATGGCTCTGAGGACCCTCCCAAGGACAGAGACTCTGGGGCTGAGTGGCAGACAGGTGATTGACACACGTCCCCTCTCTCCCTGTGTTTTGTCTATCTGCCTGTGTCTCTGTTCTCTCTGATCTCTCTGTGTGGCCTGTCTCTGTGGGAGTGGTCTCTGTGTGCATGCGTGCCTGCCCTCGCGTGTCTCTGCCTGTGTCTGTGTGCCCTACAGGAGGTGGCCCTCTCCCTATGGCTGTCCTTTTCTGACCACACATTGGCCCCCGCTGAGCTCTATGACCGCCATGACCTGGGCTTGTCCGTCTCAACTGAGGAGGCTGGTGCAGTTGTGCCAGCCGAGGAGCAGAGTGCCCAGCTCGGGGTGGTGGTGAGTGGGGCAAGTGCAGAGGGGCTACCCCTGCATGTGGCTCTGCATCCACCAGAGCCCTGCCGCCGCGGCCGCCACCGTGTGCCCCTGGCCTCTGGCACTGCCTGGCTGGGGCTGCCCCCTGCGCCCACACCAGCCCCTGCCCTCCCATCCAGCCCTGCCCGAAGCCCGCCAGCCACAGAGGCCAGCATGGGGGGTGAACGGCAGGCGGCAGGCAGTGGCGGGGGCAGCGTCGTTGTGAGGGGCAAGTTTGAGCGGGTGGAGGAAGAGGCTGGAAAGGAGGACACCAAGGCTAGGGAGGAGGAGGAGGAGGAGGAAGAGATGGTTCCTGCCCCTCAGCGGGTCACCGATCTAGAGCTGGGCATGTACGCCCTGCTGGGAATCTTCTGTCTGGCCATCCTCATCTTCCTAGTCAATGGCGTGGTCTTCGTGCTGCGATACCAGCGCAAAGAGCCCCCAGACAGCGCCACTGATCCCGCCTCCCCCCAGCCTCACAACTGGGTCTGGCTGGGCACTGACCAGGAGGAACTGAGCCGCCAGCTGGACCTGCGGTCCCCTGGCCCACCCAAGGGGGAGGGGGGCTGCCCCTGTGAAAGTGGGGCCGGAGGGGAGGCCCCGACCCTGACCCCTGGCCCTCCGGGGGGCACCACCAGCTCCTCAAGCACCCTGACCCGCAAGGAAGCTGGGGGACGGCGGAAGCGAGTAGAGTTTGTGACGTTTGCGCCAGTGCCCCCTGCCCCGCTGCCTGAGGAGCCTGTAGGGGCCCCGGCTGTGCAGTCCATCCTGGTGGCAGGCGAGGAGGACATCCGCTGGGTGTGTGAGGACATGGGGCTCAAGGACCCCGAGGAGCTTCGTAACTACATGGAGAGAATCCGGGGCAGCTCCTGACCCTTCTCTGTCCTGCCAGGCCCAGCGTCGTCAGCCACCAGCTCAGGCAGCAGGGGTGGGTGGGGGTCCAACCAAGCCGCTTGCCTGTCCCTCCTGCTCCTTCTCTGGTGCTTGTTGATCCAAGTCCCCTGCCTGGTCCCCTGCGAGGACTCCCACCCTTCTCCCTGCCCCTTGTCATGGATCATGGTTGTGAGGAAGGGCTTATGCCCCTTATTTATGGGAACCATTTCATTCTAATGTTGGGTACAGAATAAACTGAGAAGGAAACCGCCGCGCGGGGACTGCTGTGCCGCTGTCTGCCCTTGGGGAGAAGTGCGGGCTTGGTGGGCTGTGCTCAGCCCCTGTCCCTGCTAGAACAGTTCTGGACGGATAGGCCCTGTCGTGCTCTCTCGTAGCGACGAGCGATCCAGATGAACAGGGTGGCCGTGACAGCCTGAATGCCAGCCAGCAGGAAGAAGTAGCGATCCATCTGGCAGTTGTTGATGTTCCCTGAGGAAGGAGGGGTTGGCATTTGTCAGGAAGGGCTCCTTGTCTTGCATCTGCTCCCTGCCATGTCCCCGCCCCCCGGCTGGCAGCTAAGGTAAAGCGGGCAATGGGTGCGATCCAGGGACCCTGGTAGAGAGCCCTCCAGGTCTGGCTCTCTCAGTGTCCCCTGGGGAGTCTCTAATTTCCCTCTGAGAAAAGTAACTGGCCGGAACGAGAGAGTTCCAGAAGCCCAGAGGAGCCTCGCAGGGCCACTGAGTTCAATGCTTCCTTCTGAACAGCTGGAGAAACCAAGGCCCACAGTGAGGCCACGTTGTGGGGGACTGGTCATGTTTGGGCTACAGCCCATTTCCCCCAACGCCAGCCCCCTGGTCCATTCTGCCTCAAAGCCCACAGCAGTCGCAGCTTCCTTCCCGCCCCTCCGTCCACCCGCTGCCGGGGAGACCTCCATACTCACCAAAGTCCTCAGGGCAATACATCCAGCCCCCTGGCAAGGACAGTAGTGCCACTAGGCTGGAGCCCAACAGGGAGCCCACCCCGGACAGGCAGAAGAAGATGCCCATGATGGCGCCCTGCATGGAGCGCGGGGCCTCCGAGTAGGCAAACTCCAGGCCTGTGGGGAGGAGAGGGAGGGGCTGAGGAGGAGCTCAGGTGCTCCTGCTTGGCCACCTGCCCCCTTCCACCAGCCTCTGCGGCTGTGATGGTGCTGGAGCCCCGGGGCCACCCTCCCATCTGCTCTGCTCATCACCATCTGGCCGATCACCTCCTTGCTGACCCCCTGCCCTGGACGCTGCACACACTGCCCCAAGAGCTCTGGCACCTGTCCTGCCCCTCCTATTTTAGGGATGACACCCCAAGATAGCGCCATCTGCACCCTCGACTCCCTGCCTTCGTCATTCCCTCTGCCTGTGAGGTCCTTTCTCCCACCTGCTGCATGCTGCCCGCCCCTCCCCCACACTACAGCACAGTCAGGGTTTATGATTCTCATGAATGTCCCCCACCCCAGCCTGAGTGAGCTCACAGGGTTGGCTTTATCTCTATGTCCCACCCCACACTTAGCAGAGGAGCCCACCCCAGGCTTGTGGCTCCAGCTCCCCGCCCAGTGCTTGTGAGAGAGACATGCGCGCATAATAGGGCAGGGTACTGTGGGCAGGGAGGACCCTTCTGCTCAGGAGCTTTGACATTGAGGTTCAGAATTGAAAGGGAAAAGGGAGACCGCCCAAGGCAGAGGGGATAACAACTGCAGACCTAGAAGGTGGGGGACATGGCCCTGGGGGACATGTGGAAAGTGGGTGTGGGAAGTGCTTTTTCACCTCCAAATTCCCAGGACCTATCACAGTGGCTGGCTCCAAGCCACTGCCTTCCTCAGTTCGGAAGTCCTGGGGCTATGCCCAAGGGCCCCGGCATGGAAGCATCAAAGGGCAGAGCCCAGCACAGGTGCAGGGCAGGAGAGGGGACTCAGGTACCTGGGATGCTGGCAAAAATCTCACTGATCCCAATGAGCAGGTACTGAGGGATCTGCCACCAGATGGACAGTGGGGCTGCGTAGTACAGGTCCTTTCCAATCAGCTGGGACACCGTCTCATTGTGGGAGATGTACTGTAAGCGCTCCATCTCAAGGACTCCTGGTGGGGGAGCAGAAGGAGAGTCCAGCCAGGCCCACCCCAAGCCCACCCACAGCAGGCTTCAGTGTGTGATGGGTGCTATTACATAACCAGTGATTGGTTGACTGGCCTGGAGGATGAGGAAGATGTGAGTTCGGACTCCTCTTTTTGCCTTGGCTGACGGGAAGCTCAGAGCTAGATTTGTACTTGGCAGCAATTACTCTCGCTTTTCAAGAGCCTGGGATGGCATTCTTGCAAATGAAGAAAGTGAAACTTGGGTTGAGCAACCAGCCCAGAATCACACAGCTGATAAGTAATCAGGGTTGGATCTGAGCTCCAGTATATCTGGTTTCAAAGCTGGCCTACTTTTCACAGTGTCACATGACTTCTGGATTGCAATGTTAAGTATTATGGGAGTGTTTCTAACCTGGCTTTTAAGTTTGTGTAATCTCTTTCCCTTCCTTGCCTGGAGGACAGCTGTGCTCTAGTGGAACAAACACTGAACAAGGAGTTAGGGGACATGGGTTCCAATCCTGGCCCTGCCACTGACTTGCTATATGACCTTGGACAAGTCACTTAACCTCTCTGAGACTCAGTTCCCTTGTGCAAGAAGCAGGAGTAAAATTCCCAGGATCATTAGGAGGATGGAATAGGAGAGAAAGCATTAAAGCACATAGCCAAAACTGAATCTAGCTTGATTTTCATATTTCAACATAATACTGTTTATTGAGCTTCAATTTCTTCAGCTTCACCTTGGGATCCAGTCACATTATAGGTGCTACGCAGACTCCATCGCCTCTAATCCTCACCACACCCAACTATGAAGGCAGAGCCTGGCCCCCCTCCAGGTCTCAATGCATTCCTATCCCTGCTTAGAAGGTGCAGCTTGGAGATGTGATGTAACTTCAGGATCACAGAACCCCTAGGTGAAAGGCTTCAGGTTGAGAAACAGCATGAAGCCTTCCTTACCTGACCCCTTTAGGTTTATTTTTACATTTTACTCATTGGTTGGTTGATTTTTGTGGTGTTGGGGATCAAACCCGGGATCTCACATGTCTGGTAGGCAAGTGCTGTCCCAGCCTAGCGTTTTACACACACACACACAGAGGCTTCAAATGCTTTTGAAATAGAAGAAGGAAGAGGATTTCTTTTTTTTTAAGTCCTGATTTGTCGCCAAGAGGCAGTGAGTGCATCTTTGAAAAATCTACTCCAACCCCCTCTCCACCCCACCCTTTTATTTTTTGCAGCACTGGGGATTGAACACAGGGGCACTGTACACAATAAGCTATATCCACAGCCCTTTTGATTTTGATTTTGAGACAGTCTTGCTAAGTTGACAAGGCTGGTCTCCTTGAACTTGTGATCCTTTGCCTCAGCGTCCTGAGTTGCTGGGGGTTGCAGGTATGCACCACCACACCCTGTGCATTATTCAGAGAAGTGGAAAAAAGGAGGAGGAGGAGGAGAAGAGGGGGAGGAAGAAAAGGAGGAGGGGGGAGGAGGAGGAGGATCATCATCATCATCATCATCATCATCATCCCTGCCTTCAAGGAGCCTATATCCCACTGGGGAAATAGTTGCTCTTCTCTCTGCTTGAGTTTACTCATCTGTCAAAATGAGAGAGGCGGATCAATGAGCAGGGTCTCTTTTAGCTTGACCTCCTGGGAGGCCACGGCTGACACCTGTGTGTGGGTGTGTTGGGGGGCACGTGGCCTGGGCCACAGCTTTAGCATGGTGGGGCAGCCCCTCCACCCACACCTCAGACAGACAAAGGCTGGATCTCAGCCCCATGCCCCTCCACATACCTGCTACAATGACGGAGGTGAAACCAAAGAACATCCCCAGAGCCATCTTCTGCAGAGCCGAGGGAAGCAGCCCCCGCCGCAGCAGGAAAGGATCAATCAAGTGATCCTTCAGAGGGACGAGGATCAGCACCACCACCACGTTGGCCAGCAGGAGCCAGGCTTCTGGAAACTGGGCAGGAGGCAGCCATGAAGGGCAGGCTAGCAGCACTGAAGGACTCCGGGCTGGACTCTCAGACCTCAGCTTCAAAAGGTCTCTGAGTAACCCAGGACCAGCCCCCTGCTCCCTCCAGAGCTCAAACTCCTCAGCTGTGTAACTAGGGGGCAGATTAGATCAGGGAGCCACAGCATGGAGCAGTGAAGGCTGACCGGAGCAGGATGCCTGGGCTGTGGCACAGGGTCACCCACCCTCCAGGTGCTTCCCCTGTATCCTGAGGGCGCCCTGCAGCTGGAGGAGGGGAGGACTAAGGGGCTTCCTTTCCCTTCTAGAGGCCGCTCCTGCTGCCTGAACCGGGGACTGAACATGCGCTTTGCCTCACCCTGTAGCCGCCGCCGCTGCTGCTCAGAGCCGGGGAGCTGTTGGCAGGGTTGGCTGGGAATATGTTGGGGATGTGGAGGTGGAGGCCTTGCAGGACGTAGGTGGACTGCATCTGTCAAGAGAGGCTGAGGGGAGGCTGGTGTGGAGCTCCTGGCTCCAGCCCCATGGGCTCCCAGGTGCTCCCAGGGAGGCCATTCCTCTGCAGCAGCACAGGGCCGCTGAGCAGCTGTCCGCTCCCCCAGCATCGGGGAGGAGGTCACCCCGGTCCCTTCCTTCTTGAGAGCCAGGTTCTCTGGCCAGTCCAGTACTTGCAGCCTTATCCCCAAGCCAGGGAACAACTGGTCCTGCTCAGAGTTGTGTCTCCAGGGAGCAGCCCAGAGTGGGGCTGGATAAATGTTTGTTGAAATGGGGAGGATAATGACATGGCTGACCCCACAGCAGGTTCTCCTCTGGCACTGAAGGCAAGCAGAGTCCTGCAGGTTGACGTGCACAGGAACTGCATAGGCACTGCCAACCTCAGAATGGCGCTGGACATAGCTGCAGGAGAGGCCCAGCACCCCGCCTCCTGCCACACCAGGCATTGTCTCTAGCTGCTACGAACCAAGAGGTCCAGGGGACTCCCCAAGAAGGGCGGGTTCAGGGGAGGGCTCAGGGGGCTCAGGGTAGCAGCTGATTACTAACCAACAGGACAACTGGTATGACCGAAAATAGCCATGGACACCCTCCCCGTGTCCCTGGTCTCATCATGGACACTCTCTGTGCCTCCCCTAAGTAGCAGGCTGGACTTGCATGACCCTGTCTTATGGGTTCCAATGAAGAGGCTATGAGGGCAACGACCCTATGGTCTGGGGATCAGGGGCTGGCTAGGCTGCTGTCCATACACACACACACACACACACACACACACACACACACACACACACCCTTGGAAGCGGCATGATGGTTGGGAGGCAGCAGCTTTCAAATCTGATCCCCACATCATCAGAGAAGCTTATTAAACAAGGTACTCCCCCCATACACAATTCTGTAGTCTGGGGTGGGGCTTGGGAATCTGTGCTTTTTAAAAAGCTCTACAGGAGATTCTAGGGTGCAACTAGGTAAGGAACCACAGTGGGTGTGCTTGACTCCCGAGCCTACCCCCAACCTGCAGTGGGGCCTTGGCAACCAACACACCCTCCCTGCCACCCACGCCCAGTTGGAGATCTGAATGCACAGAGCTAAAGAGCTGCTGGTCTGAGCCGCCCAGGGCACATGTCGGGCACTGGAGCCCAGAAGGGTGGGGCATCGAGTCAAGGAGCTGGGCCTCCTGCAATCACCTGGGGTGGGGCTTTAATCACTGGGATGGTACCATATCCGGCCCACAGCAGCTGGTGCATAGCAGCTACTCATTTTGCTCTGGCCCTTCCTGTAGGCCCTGGGCTTCTAAGATGACCAATGAGGACCTGGGGAGTCAGGGCCCCAGATCAAAAGGCAGGGGTGCCCACCTGGAAGTACACCATCCAGTAGGGCACCAGGGTCACCATTACAGGTAAGATCTTCATCAGCACCTGAAAGTTGGCAATGTCCTCTTCATGAGAAGGACCAGGCTGGGGATATCTGTGGTCAGGCAGCAGGTGGGCACCTTGAGCATCTCTGTGGGCCACAAGGACAGAAGATAAAATGGCAGCCATCATCATTCTCATTACCACGGCCACTGCTTTCACCTCGTCCACTATTCCCTAACAACCTAATCACCACTCACCACAGCCGTCACCTCAGCAGTCACCCCTTCGCCCCTCCACTCCCCTGTGGACATCGTCTTCACCACCAGCACAAGACCAGTGTCCTTACCATCATCATGGCCACTGAAACCATCTCTCCACCCAGGTTTCATTTCTGTCACTGTCACTTGTTTTCAGTGTTGGCACCACCACTGTTAATATTACCACTATTGTCTCTTTAGTAGCGAAGGTGGCCAATCATGTTACTCTCCATCTGTGGCCCCTTTGGGGCCAGAGGCGTGGCAAGCAGACTCTTAAGGGACTTTCTGGCTCACAGCATTGATTTGTCACGGGAACCAGGGAAGTCCCAAGACTCAGTGGCTGTCATGGATTTGACACCCAAATTCCCCTGTTACCATCCCCCAGGTCCATCCTCAAGAATGGGCTCAAGGGGGACTTAATATCCCATCCTACGTGACAAGGGTGAGAGTAGAGAGGCAGGAGTGAGGGAGCATGAGAAGCCTGGATAGATCCACACCCTGTACCTTTTGCCCTTTCCTCTTTGTCCTGAGAATTTCTGATTTCTTCTTGCCCCAAAGTCTTACAGCATCCTTTGAGATTCCCAAGGGGACACTACCAGTATGATTGTCTCCAAAAGTAGAAGCGCATACCAGTAATGCAATGCCACTCCTCCAACAGCTGATTCTGTCCCCTGCCACTGATTCCAGGCCAGCCTGTGACACTTTGACCAACAGAGCAAGGCAGAGTGATGCTCTGGGACAGCCAAACCCTCCAGGGCCTTAGGAAGACCCCAGAGCATCCACTTCCTGCCCTCTGGAGCATTCATTCTTGGAATACTCCCTCTTGCAACCTGGACCCCATGCTCTGAGGAGCTCAAACCACAAGACGGGGCCACATGAAGGGGAACTGAAGCTCAGTCCCAGTTGAGTTCCCAGCCCACGGTCATCATCAACTGCCAGCCACATAAATGAGTCATCTTGGATGAGCCCTTTCAAGTCCCCAAATGACTGTGACCCTGGTGACGTCAAACTTCCCTGTGGAGCTCGGTCACCCACAGAATTATGAGAGGGGGTGAAAAGGTTGTTGTTTAGGCCAGTGAGCTGTGAGGTGGTTTGTTAGGCAACGACAGATAACCAAACAACCAGACTCTTGGCACCTGGTGACTACAGTCACAGAACCTCTAGCAGTACAACAGGCTGCGGGGGACAAGCTCTTGACTTTTCCGTCTCGTTCTCACTGACAGGGGCTGTAACGGGCTCCGAGGTCTGCACACCCATGTGCTTAGCATAAGCAGTCAATTAAGGTAGGAAGGAGAGGGCAAAAGGAAGCCACTGGGCATGTGCAAAGCCCTGCAGAACCTCCCTCCCTTGGATGTCAGCCAATGGGGAGGTCGGGCGCGAGGTTGGCTGATTTAAGACAGTTAGACTTAATAACCGGGCAGCGTTGCCAATGCTGTCTTCGCCGCAGGGACCAACACCCTTGTCCCCAGCTGCATCACCAACATCACTGTCAAGACCATGACCATCCTCACAGGTTCCCCAGTCAGAAGGTCACCGATCATACCACTGTCACCACCACCACCTTGACCTTCACTGCCAGCCTCAGTCATGGTGGGTAGCTCTGGCCCCCTGCAGGGCAGGTCATCATAAAAGGCCATTTGCTGAACCTGAACCAGAATGTCTGTCAGTTAGGCCACGCCTCCCCAGAAGGGGACCTCCTTTCCCAGACGTCCCTTCTTACCTGGCAGCATGTCGGTGCCACAGCCAGGGGCAGCAGTTCTGGAGGGCAAGCTTAAGCATGGAGGACACTTGGCTGCCCGTGGGGGGCTTGGAGATAAAGACAGGGGAGGCAAAGAGGAAGATGAAGAAGGCCAGGCCCACACAGCCCACGGGGATGCTGTAGCCCACCAGGAAGCTGATGTTCTGCTGGATGAAGGACCCCACCAGCAGCGAGAACACGGCCCCCAGGTTGATGCTCCAATAAAGCCAGTTGAAGAAGCGGCGGGTGGCATCGCGGCCAAGATCCATCACCTGCCAGCCAGCCAGGGGTAAGAGTGGGGTCAGGGAGGTCCAGGGGCACCATCTGTCCCTGTGCCTCTCTCTCCCCCAAGGGCACTTCCTGGGTCAGTGGGTGGGCACTTCCTAATCTCTGATCACTATACACATGCTCAATTAAATATTTGTTGAAACAGTGAGCAAATCTTTCTTTGGGGAGCCACTTGTTTGATCAGAACATTTTGGCACAGCTGTTTTTACATGCCCATGACACACATTGCTTTTTTTTATTGTCACTAAGTAGTACACCCAACAGATGTCACTTCATTCACTTCTGGTTGATTTATCCCTTTGCCTTTGACTGAGAAACCTACGCTATGCGTTACTTTTATAATCAGAAAAAAAGCCAATAAAGATCTCAGTTGTGTTCCACACGATTAAATATGATGTATGCATAATACTAAAAGAATAGTTCAAAAAAAATGAGAATTTCCTCATCACTTTGGAGGTGCAGAGACTGTTTTGTGGCCCATCCCTGTGCCCAACTAGCCTCTGTTTTATACCCAATCAAACAAGATTGGTATAATCAGGGAAGGTGGAGGGGGTCTTTGGACATGGCCCCAAGAGCAGGTTCTGACCGGGTAAAAATAATTTTTTTCAGGCCCACAAGCAAGGGTGGGTGGGCAGGAAATCCAAATCTATGCAGATTTAGATCAATCTGCAACAGTTAGGCACAGGCCTGCTTCCGGTCTGCTGGCTTGGATCAGTGACACTGGCTGTCCTGTCCTACCTGCTAGAACCTGGTGCCAGATTCTGATTCAGCGGGTCTGGGACATGGCCTAGCAACTGCATTTCTCAAAAACAGTGAAGACTGGGGTCATTTCTCAGGATAAATGATTCTCCACTTTGTTAAACCACCCACCCATTCAAACACCACCACCCTAGTCTCAGAATCCTGTACTGTCCTTCTACCCAGGGGACACATATTTCTACTAGCTAAGAAGATTGTGTCAAGCTATACTTTCTGTACTTCCAGTGGGGAAAAGATAAATATTTTGCACCCTGTCTAAATGCAGAATCATAATCCATACAAATGTGCTTAAAATTGCATTTCCCTGGAGATTCCAAGGGGACTTCCTAGTGATGGGGAGGGAGGGACATGCTAACTCATTAGAATCTTTGCTCTGGACTTTCAAATGGAAAACTGAGTAAGTCCCATTATGAGCAGCCACTTCCATTTATTAATTGGAAATAAATGAATATGACAATGGTAACTCTAAGAGGAAGACCAGGCAGCCCATTCAGGATATAAATGAGTTCTTCCAGAAGGAGCAGACACTTTGTCGAGAATGATGGATGGCCCTTTCTGAAATCAGCAAGTGTGTTAAATGCAACTCCTGGGTATAGCTGTCTGCCAGATGGTGCCAGCCCTTCCCACCCCAGGTCTCCTGACTGACTGTTCCCCTGAATCCTGAAGCTGCCTCCTCAGTGCTCCGTTGCACCCACTCCTGTCAGCCCATCCATCTCTACATTGAGGCAGAACCATTTGTAATCCAGTGATGTCCATCCTCTCCTCACCAGTGTTTCTGCCCTGTCTTGGGTTCGGGTCTTAGTTCTATGCCAGCTTTCCAGTCCAGCCTCCTTCTGCTCAAAGTTCATGCTCAGTAAGTATGGGGATGCACAGGAACCACTGTCCCTTTGGATGCCATGGGAGGCTCTATTCAGTGGCCTGGCCCCTGGGGGACCAATTCTGCCACTAGGATAAAGGAGACGATGGGCACTGGATGTCTGAGGTCTTTGGAGGTCAAGGGGCCAGGGAATGGGATAAGGTAGCTGGGGGTAGGTGGGTAGTGGGATGTCAACAAAAGAGCAGAATTAGGGAAGATGGGAAGTTCTTATTCACAAGTGTTGGGGCTTTGAGTCTGAAGAAGGGGGAGAGGGACAGGGATACCCAGAGGGCACCGAGTGTCCCATCATCAAAGGAATCTAAATGGGTTGTACAAGTGACTCCTTCGCAAGGACACCAGACATGGTGCTGGGCGCTGGATTGTGGATACCAGCTGGATAAAATGATTCATTTTTAAAATGTCCCCTTTGTAAATGCAATTAAAGAATACTTGAAAAACTAGAGTCAAGGTGGGTGGGGAGCACAATTAGCCCAGTGGCCTGATCACACTGCTGTTGAAATCCGTTTCCAGGTCCCCCCTATGGCTGACACCTGGTGTTTTCACGTGGCTGTTCGCAGTCTGTCTCTGTGGCTCTGCGTGCTGCCCCTGTTCGTTCACACTGTACATGTTGTTTTAATAATACCCCACATTAGTTCAAATTATTGTCTCAGGTCCTACTGAGCAGAGCTGCCAAAATATGGCCATGTTTTAAAGCACTTACTCATTTAGCAAATAGTTATCGAATTTCTTTTACACACCACACTCTGTCCAAGGAAGAATGAAGAAAGGCTCAGAGGTTGAGATACATGCCCAACTGTCCCCTGCTGCTGAGGGGCAGAGCCAGGATCTGAACAAGTCAGCCTGACAGTCTCTGGCACTGTTGACAGGAAAAGCCTGGCTGGTCCCTGCCCCAGTGCCCAGATCCCTAGAACACAGAGATGGGGCTCACAGTGGGGCCTGAGGTCCAGCTGCCCATGTCCTGCTTCTTGACTGCTCTTTATGTCATCTTTCATAAGCTGATTAAACCCTGAGGTCTCAGAGTCCTTATCTGTAAAATGGGCATGATAATACTACCTACCTCCTGGGTAGTTAAGAGGGTTGAGTTAAAACATTGAAAGTGTTTAGCTTGGGGCCTGGGACATGGCTCAAAGAAGGCCAACTGTGGTCACTCCTATTGTTGTCATAGATCTTCCAGGGCCAGCATCCCCTCTTCTTTCAAATAAGGAAGCTGGCCCAGAAAGGAGAAGTGGTGCGTCTGAGGTCACACTAGCCTCCTGGCTACGATCTCAGCCCCCACGGAGTTGCTTTTCTTCAATCCCCTGGGCTTCCCGTTGGTGGGCCTTCCTGCCACTCACCTGGTCGCCCCCGAAAGAGGTGAGGCTGCTTCTCACGGAGCTGGCAGCCAGGGCGAGCAGCAGCAGTGTGGCGTAGAGGGTGGGCGCGCAGTAGGGGCTGGGCAGGGCGTGCTGGCAGTCAGAAGAGGGGCAGGAGGGTCCCAGCGGCCACTCGGGCATCTCTCCGCAGAAGGAGCTGCGGCCATCTGGGATGGAGGTGGCGAGCAGCAGGCACGAGGCGGCCAGGTAGAGTAGCAGGCTGATGGTGACGACGCGGTGGCGGCCCAGGTACACGTCCGCCAACCAGCCTCCCACGGGCGCCAGCAGGTAGGAGGCGCCCAGGAAGACGAGCGCGGCGAGCGACGCCTGCTCGCCCGCCCAGTTGAAGTTCCCGCTGTTGAGGTACAGCACGAGGTTGGCGGCGACGCCGAAGAAAGCGGCGCGCTCCAGCATCGCCACCAGCAGCACCGCTGTCGCCGCCGCCCGCCGCCACCGTCGGGGACCCCGCGCGCCGCGCGCCAGCAGCGGCCGGCGCTCCCCAGGATTGCGGGACTGCTCCGCGGGGCGCGGCCCGGGCATCCTGGGCGCCCGCCTGGGCCCCGGGCCTCGCCCTCCTTTCTAGCCCTCTAACCCCACTTCCCCGTCCTGTCTTCCTCTCTACCCCTCCGTTCACTCCTCCACCTCCTCCTCCCTTCTCCCCTTCCCACTCCCAGCTCCTCCTCGCTCTGCTGTCCTCCCCAGAGGTCTCCCCGGGCCCTGTCCTCTCCTTCCTGCACCCTGACCCTGTCTCCCCTTCCTTTCAACCCTTCCTCTCCACCTCGCTGCCCCTCCCCCTCTTTCCTGCTGGTCTCCCCGGTTGGCTGGTCTTCCTTAACTGTGGTCCCCTCCCCCTATGACACCTGGGCCTCACTACCCTCCCCCCGGCCCAGCCGCCCCTGTGGGCTCCTCCACGCCCTTGTCCCCAGACTGCCTCCCCTCCTCCCCCAATCCCTTCTGACTCTCCCTCCAGCTCAGCCTCTGTCCCCCTCTCTGCTTCTTAAGAAATTCTGGGCTTCCCTCCTTCCCCTTTCTCTCGGCAGCTAGCTGCGTTTGTCACATGGTATTTAGGAGAAATGAAAGCTTGGGTCACAAGGCCCCTGCCCACCCAGCTTTCTAAAAATCTCCTCTGCCTATGACCCTCACCCCACCTCCGCTAGCCTCCCCAGAGTCTGGAGGGCTACTTTCTGTCTTTCACTTTCGTTTCTCAACAGGATTTCACTTCTGCTGCATCCCCTTCCAATCAGAATCCAAGGCTGGACTGATGGACCCGGACAGGCCATCCCGCAGCGTTTGGTCCACCCACCCACTTCAGAGACGCAGAGACTGAGCCCCAGGAGGAGATGGGGAAAGGAGTGAGCCATGACCAGGTTCCTGGCAACAGAAGGCAGGGTAAACCTCTGCCCCTGGGTCCTGGGTGACAGGGGAAGCTCTGGTCGTGCAATTCAGATTGTGCAAATGCTCTTCTGAGGAAGGAAGTGGGGACACCTTCCAGAAGCCAAAGACTCCATACAGTACCCACAAGTGAGTCGAGATTGAAAAGGGCACTGAGCTCAGACTCAATCACAGTGAGTCCCCTACTTTAAAGCCCTCCTGCCTATTTCTGAGAGCAAGAACCTGTCCCCATCCTGACCTACAAACCCAGCAGGATCTGACACCTCCTCTGACTTCATCTCTGCTTCAAGTTCAGGGAATCCAGCCTACTGACCTTTCGGATTCTTCCCCAAACTGGGTTCCTTCCTACCTCTGAGACTACACCTTTGCTTCCTCTCTGCCAGAAAGACTCTTCCTCTAGATTTCTGCATGGCTGCCTTTTTCTCTTTATTTGAATTTCAACCCTTATTAAATGATCGCTCTCAATAGGCACCTCTCCTGATCATCTTAGTGAGCAACTGGCTTCTCAGCATCCTCTCTGTCACCTTGTCCTGTTATAATGTCTTCAGAGCACATATAACTTGTTCAGTCTCTTCTCCAGTAGAATGTCCTCTCCACTGGGTCAAGGACCTTTAGCTGTCTCATTCCCAGTGACTTCCCAGAGTCTGCTTGGCAAAATAGCAGATGCTCAGCAAGTACTGGATGAATAAATGAATGGGAATGAAGAATGTCCCAAGGCAAGATTTGTAAGAATAAAATCAGGAAATCTAAACGTTAACGTGAACCTTGCCAAAGCTGAACATATCACCAAAAATCATATATCTATATATCTATATATATATATATATATATATATATATATATATATACACACAATATATATATATATATAATACATATGCATCTATATGTATTTTATATGATACATATGTATGTATCTATAATATAATATTTTTTTGGTGATCCTTATGTATCATATAATATATGATCATATATATCATTTTTGGTGATCTATATATGTGTATATATTATATCTGATAAGAAGCCAAGCGTGGTGGATGATACAAACCCTTGGAGGTATAAGACTGAGGAGTGGTGGCAAGAAAGCAGGGCTGTCTTCTAAATTCTGCTTGTCACTGCAGTCAGGAACAGTGCGCTTTGGACCAGGCAGGGGAGAGAAGAGGGTGCCTCTGTGAGCCGTCTCCACCTCTCCATGGAGGAAGCTCAGGATCCCCAGCCACGGGGTGTAGGGACAAAGTGCAGGTCATATCAGACCCAGCTCCTACCTGTCTTGGCAAGGTCCCTAGACTGGCAGAGGTGACAAGGACCATCTCGGAGTGCTGAGCCTTACAAGGGAGAGTCCTGGCTTGCTCTCGGTGATCTTCGGAGGGTGGTGGAGGAGGGAAAGGCTTCTAACCACAGTGTGGTCTGCAGACAAGAAAGCAGCAGAGAAAAGCTCGGAGCAGTTTCTTCCTTTGCACCTGGACTCCATGCACAGACAGGGAGGAGCGAGTAGCCTCTGACAGATAGGGGAAGTAGTGTCTGCGGGTAACTGATTGTCACTTGGGGCATGAGTGACATTATTAACAGCTAGGGCAGGGACTCCTAGTACAGAGGAGCTGGAGAGCTCATGGCCGCAGGCATGACCCACAGACCCGTGTGGTTCGGTCCAGGTAGGGTTCAGCCCCAGACTGTCAAGTTTTCATTGTTGCATTTGTCATTATTTAAGGCTGCTGGTCCATAATATGCTGTGTGTGAGTGGGGGGGGAATGGGAGGATTCAATGAACTCTAGATAGAGCAAAGGGGAAAGGGGAGAGAGGGGATGGAAGGGGGCACAGGGGTAGGAAAGACGGTGGCATGCTATGGTCATCATTACCCTAAGTACGAGTATGAAGACATGAAGGATGTGACTCTACTTGTGTACAACCAGAGATATGAAAAATTGTGCTCTATATGTGTAATATGAATTGTAATGCATCCTGTTGTCATCTATAACAATTTAAAATTCAAAAAAATAAAGAATTTACAAAGTTATTAATTCAGTATCTCCTTCAGATGTCAGAATGAAAATTCAGGCGTTCAGCCACTTGAAGCTGCGGAGGGCCTGCAGAGCCAGGCCCTCTACAGGCAGCCAACAGGCAGCCGCCCCCGAGCGCTGGCAAGGTGAGGTGGGGTGCAGGGGGCTTGGCTGGAGGCTGCTGGCCCTGGGCTGCTTCACCTGCGCTTCTCTCAAGCTGCCCTTGAGTGTGAGAAAGGCGTAGGCTGCACTGAGGAGGGATGGCCTGGGGCTAGAGGTAGAAGTGGCCTCTCCAGTCTCCCACTTCCTACTGATGACACTCTGCCAGGTCAGGGAAAGAGTTGTCAGATTAAGGGAAGTTCAAAAGTGGGATTTACATAACCTCTCGGGCTCTAGCCCCACCTTCTAGAACCCAGCGCGATTACTTTATGTGGTTGAAAAGAATGGAATGATGAAGCCCAGATCTAACTTGCAGTCTCTAGGTGCAGCTTTTGAGAAATGCCCCAGTACTGCTGAGCTCCACTGCCTGCAGCTCATATAGCCACAGGAAGCATCGAATTGCATAGCCTCATTGGGACTCTGTAGGATGACCGTGATATGGCCCTTGCAGTGGGCTGGGCTGTCTGCCAAGGCCTGCCACACATGCAGAACAATCAGAATTTCTTTTAGACCTGGACAACCTACTCCCTGTTCCCATAGGGGGGATGCTGGGCTGGAGAACAGGTGGAAAGCAAATACCTGAGCCACCTGGATACAGTCTAATATCCATGGAGGAAGGACTGGCAGGACAGAGGGAAGGAGACGGACAGTCCCAGGGACTTCCTGGATTGCTGAGTAGGCATCCCCCTGGAGCAGTGTGGCCCAGTCCAACACCCTGTTTAGGCCACAGATGGTCAGGGCCAACATGTCCCACAGTGCAGCGGGTGAACCGGGAACTGTACTTTACCTGCAGCTCGCTGTCCAGTAGCACTCTCATTCTCCTGGGAAGCAGGTGGCTGCACAGGAATGCCACCATCTGGTTGCACTGTGGCAGGACCAGGTGGAGGTAAGGCTGCTCTCTTCCATTCCCATGACCACCAGGACAGGCAGGTGCTTTTAAAGGAACAGAAGCCGGAGTAAATGAGCAGCTTGTTCGCAGGGCCACAGCTGAGGATGGGACATTGACTGTGGCCTGCACTGTGGAAGATGGCAGTAGAGGAGGCCTCCTCAGATTGTCCTCCTTGTCCCCTTGGCACCCAGGAGTGAGGCTAGCCAGGAACTGAGAGTAAGTGGGTGGCGACATTTCATCAGTTGTATTAGCTTTCCATCACGATGACAAAGTACCTGAGAAAATGAACTTTGTGTGTGTCTGTGGTAGTGCGGGTTGAACTTGGGGCCTTGTGCAAACTAGGCAAGTGATCTATCGCTGAGCTACAGCCCAGCCCTTTCTATTTTTTGTGTTGAGATAGGGTGTAGCTAAGTTGCTGAGGCTGACCTTGAACTTGTGATCCTCCTCTCTCAGTCTTCCCAGGAGCTGGGATTACAGGCCTGCACCACTGTGTGCCTGGCTTAATAAATCAACTTTTAAGGGGGAAAGCCTTAAACAGTTTCAGAGGTGTCGGTTCGTGGTCACTTAGACCCATTGCTTTGGGGCCTGTGGCAAGGTCACACCTCATGGTCAGGAGCACTGGGGGAGCAAGATGCCCACTTCACAGCAGCCAGGATGAAAGGAGAGACCCAGGAAGGGGCAGGAGTGCCAATATCCCCTTCAAGGGCATGTCCCCAATTACTCAACTGCCACCAGGGCCCACTTCTTAAAGGTTTCATCACCTTCCTGTAGCCCCATGGACTAGGGACCAAGCCTTCCACATATGGGGGACATACAACATCCAGAATATAACACCAATGACAGTTGTTTCTTATTATATCCTTTTAGTAAATTTTCACTCTCACCAGCCTTTTACAAAAGTGATGGGCTGTGATGTCTGTCCTCTATTTCAGGTCTCCCCAAGGGGCCTGTCCCTAAGTTCCCCTGATGTTGCTTGGCAACTGTGTCCCCCGCCCCCCGCCCCCCACCTGTTCTTCTCTCTCACCCTGCAGTGCCCACCATGTTCAGGCAGCCTGGACCTCACTGTAGTAGCACCTTCCAGTTCATGTTCAGCACTGAGGCCAGAAAGCTTGAAAACCACAGGGCCCCTTCCTGTTTTCTGGATGGGTCCATATTCCTTTGTCCAATCTAGAGGGTCTGCCAGGATTTACCCCTTCTGTTCCAACTCCCAAGCTGCATCTGTGCTCTCTCTCCTGCCTGCCACCCCCACTCTGCCCTCTGCTCAGCTTCCAGCTCTCTTGCACCTGGAACTTGGCACATGCTGCTCTTCCACTGCTCATCAATACTGACCCCTGAGAGCTTGACTCAGATGCTGTCTCTTCTGAGAAGTCTCCTTTGATTTCCAGGGTTGGATGCAGGTCCCCT